TAAGTACATTTGAACTTTTTGTAAAAATATTATTTGGTTTAATATGAAAATTAACCAATGCAAATTCTGGAGGTGTTGAAATAACAAATATATCGGGGTATCGTAGGATTTTATTATAAAATCGTCGTGCGAGTCCAACCATCTAATGATCATGGACAATGTTAAAAGCAATTTCCTAATAAAAATTTTTTAAAAAAAAAAAAAAAATGATAAAAGCTTACCTTTCTAATATGTTCCCTTAATCCTTTCGCTCCATATGTTCTTAAAATAAACCAAACCTTTAAAGATCTAAATCTTCTTCCCACTTTTTTTTTAAAAAATAAAATTAAAATAAAAAAAAATGAAAAAAATAAAAAATTCAACTCATTTTATGTGTGCTTACGTGGAATTTCCCAATCTTTATAATCCAAAACTAATCCACTTTCACTCGCAGGATTTTTAAGAATATCTTGTGAAACCGACAACGCATTTATAAGATGATACCGGTTATTAATCCTATCAATAAAAAAAATATATGTATTGTAATTTTTAGTTAAATTATATAAATAAAATCACTTTTTAAAAAAATAAAGTTTTTTTACCATAAACAAGAACATTCGAAATTGGCTAGTAACCACTTGTGCATGTTAAAATCGAACGAATCTGCTCGATTTATACCCTCTAGTAAATATTTAAATTCGGGACAGACAAGAGCCGCACCAGCATATGCGGCATCAACATGTAACCATATTTTTGTACCTTTGACTAAGAATTAATTTTTTATTTTTTTTTAATTTATTTATTTCATTTTTTTTTTAAAAAAAAAAAAAGTTTCTTTCAAATTAATTTTATATACCAAAAATCTATCGTCACTTACTTGCATTCGCGATTTCGGTTAATTTATCAATTGCAGCCGAATCAGTCGTTCCTATCGTTCCAACGATGTAGAACGGAATCAATCCATTAGCAATGTCCATTTCAATTGCTTGTTTGACAGTTTCTCCGCAGAGAGAAAATTTCTTATCGGTGGGAAGAGCACGTGAGAACGTATTTGTGATCTTTGCTGCTTTCTTTAAACAAGAATGCGTCTAATGATCAATTTTTTTTTTTTAAAAAAAAAAAAAATTAGAATTTTATGAACTAGAAAGTTTAAGAAATATCTTCCTTCTGATTTACCTGATCCGAACCATAAGCAACGAGTCGAGTTGAAATGCTGCGCAATTCATCCTCATCCGCACCTTTCTTTTTATATTCTTCTAATATTCTATGTCTTGCTGCAAGTAACGTTACTAACGTCGCTTCACTGGCAGATGCTTGAATTACGCCTCCACCTTGTCCATCACTGTAAAATTTTGGATCCAATCCAATGAGTTTTGCCAACCAATCAAGAACAATTGGTTCAAGTTCAGTACAAGCAGGAGAACTTGACCACTAAAAAAAGTATCAAAAATCGAAAATAAAGTAAAGATTAGTATATTCCAAAAAAATAAAAAAGAGGTAGAAAGTGATATTTACATTGAATCCAATGACATTAAACATGTCAGAATACATGCCAGCTAATATAGAAGGAAATGAGGAATTGGCAGGATAAAGGGCAAAAAAATTGGGACTTTGCCAATGTGTAACTAATTAAAATATTTAAAAAATTATATTATTAGGATTTGTGCTTAAGTATTAAAATATATATACATATATATTATAACTTACTTCCGGGGATAATTTTCGTTTCAATATCGGACTGAATTGCCTCCCATGGCTCGGGTTCTAAAGGTTGAATTTTTGGTTTGTTAAAAAATGATTGAACATTCGATTTTTAAATCAAACCAATTGTTTGTGAAATAAAAATACCTTCCGGTGCTTTTTCAGGAAGCAACTTCTTGAGATATCCTGGTTCTACTTTAGATGAAACTGAAGATATGATTTTTGATTATCATTTCCGTTTTCGTTTAGTTAAATCAAATAAAAAAACTACAAAATCTAAATTACCTTCATAATTTTCAAGCTCTTGATAATATTTACAAATTCTGTCAACGGTTTCGTAACCTCTTTTACGAAATTCTTCAGTATCCATCTTTCAAAAAGAAGTAAGGTTTTATTTTTTTTTTTTAAACAAAAATTTAGGTCTTTTATTTATATGTAAAAAAAGATAGGTTATTATTATTTTTTTTAAAAAAAGATGTTATTATTATTTTTTTTAAAAAAAGATGTTATTATTATTTTTTTTAAAAAAAGATATGTTATTGCTTTTTTTTTTAAAAAAAAAAAATAAAATAAAAAAGACGGTTCCACTTTCTTTCTGCAATTTATAATTAAAAAATGATAGACCGTCGCGAATAATTTTGGGTGACTGCCGGAGATAATTAATATATATAGAATAGATCAGTAGGGGCAAGTTAAATGTAGTTTTAATTCCAATTGTTTTTGAAATGAAAAGATTCCCAATACTAATTTGGCGCATTTTATCAAGTCTCAATTGGCCCGTATTTCCAACATCGCAGACGTGCCTTTTATAAAGTAACTCTTTGATACATTTTGGGAATGAATAAGAACCGAGAACATCGAATAATAATCCTATATAATCCTATTAATGAGGAAATGTTCAGTAAGAAAGCATGAGGTCATCAAATTGTATAATAATCATACCAAATCATATTATTCACTATAAAATTTTTCATTATCTGAAAAAAATTACATTTTGATAAAGCCTAGATATTGATTTAAAAAAAAGCAAACGTCTAATTTCTAAAGACACGGACAGTCGATAATATTTGAGACTTATCCAACATTTTTTCCTAAAATAAATTATACCTGCTCATCGGATCTTAACGAATTTCGATAGACACTATTTCTAAAACCATAAACCTCCTTATTAACAAAGTTATAGTATGATAAACATTTTTTATATATTACATAAGGATTTAAAAGAACTAAAAGGATATTTAGTATTGACTGAATTTGAGATCATGCAAAATCATACGAATATTTGCATATAGCTTTCGAAATTGTAAGGATACCATCTATTTCCTTACAAACTAGGAATTTAAAATGATGAACGATGTTCAGATTCTTTTTTGGCTATCCAATTAAAAATTTATTTTATCCCAAAAATAAAATAAAAAAATGTTTATCCGCAGTTTATTGAAAAGGTCGATTAATTAAACTTTGCATGTTGTATAATAAGTATATATTATTTGATCGGGTCCCATCAAATAATAATATTTATTAATGAATGTAAGAGGTCAAAGTTATTAATTTAATCATCAATGCATATCTGATCAATGCTTCGCATCTTTATCCCAACTTATTTATTATCTTGTTTAAAAGATCTCATTTACTGAATTTTAGGGTTGGAAAATTTTAAGGTTAAGGACAATAAATCATATCAATAAATGTAAATTTTTTTAAGACCAACCATATCTCATTAAAAATTCTTATGTTACATTTACACGAGACATAAATTGTTTCAAAAAGAAAAAAAAGGAAGGGAATAGTTAGACTAGATAGACCTTACTGTAACTTTAAAAATGTTTTATGATGCAGAGAATAGTGATTCAACCGTTTATAACGTTTGGCTAGAAAATTAGTTGCCGAAGAATATTTTACCAATCGGAAATGGTTCTTTTGAGAGTATCGTTCGTGCAAATTGGAGAAATATTGATCGTTTCTTTGCTTTAAAATCTTTTAATCATGATAAAGTAACTCTGAAAGATGTTGTTAACAAGGTACAACATTTACAATTTTCTTTTTTAACAAAATTAAATAAAATAAAAAATAAAATAAAAAAAAATATTTTTTTTCGGAAAGGGTTAAATTGATTATTAAAATTTGTTTCAAAGCTAAAAATACATCGAAAAGTTGACTTTCATGAGAATATTACCCGAGTTTATGGAATAACAAAGGAAATGAACTTCAATGGAGTGATAAAAATCAGTTGGCAAATCAACTTGCAAGTGCTGTAGCGATTGCGATATTATTCATCGTGATTTGGTAATTTAATGATTTCATTTATTAGATCGTTATGTGTGATATTAATTTTAAATTGATTAATAAAAATTTGTTTTATTTTATTTTAACTGATTTATTTTGGGGGGGTTTAAAAAAAAAAAGCATGTAAATAATATACTTGTGCATCAAAAAAAATATTAAAATTGTGGACTTTGGTTTATCCAAAAAAATTGGTGAAAAAACAAATAATGCGTCAAAGTTATTTGGTGTAATACCATACATAGATCCAAAGAGTTTCGATAAGAATAATAATAATAATTCAAGATACAAATTAAATAAGGAATCCGATGTATACAGTATTGGAGCTTTGTTGTGACAAATCTCAAGTGGACGTAGACCTTTCTACACTGAAGAGGTGATTTGTGATGCGATTTTAATTTGAACATACAAAATGAGAAGAGATCAATCATTGATGGTACTCCAACGATTTATACCAAGGTACCGTAACATAAATCTTGAATCAAGTGTTTAATATATGATATTTAAAGATTAACTTCGTTAATCGATTAGAATGTTGGATGTATGAACCGTGTGAACGTCCAGGTATCCCGGTATGCAAGAGGTTAAATCAAGTTCAGAATTAACTGTAAATTCTAATATCAATAAATTAGATATTAAATCAATTTGAATTTACAAAATCAAGAATCTATTAACCTCAATGTAATAGATCATGAAAACCATAAACCATTTTCTACAGATTTATCAAAAGATTCTTTTGAATCATCATTTGTTAACAATACAACGATAATAAGCACTTCTGATTCAGAAGGTATTACTTTTGATCAGATCAAACATCTTATCAATCAAAATTATTGCAATTTAATCATAATACGGATGAACTTATCAATTGGCTTATAAAAAATCAAAGAAAAGTACAATAGGTTTGGCTTCTTGGATTATTTTACTATTATAGTATTGTATAAAAGAAAACAGTACCAAAGCATTCGAATTATTTTCAAAAGCATCAAAAGAAAATTGTTCCATAGCTCAAGTTTACCTTGCTAAATGATATAATGATGGATATGGAACTGAAAGCAATAAAAAGTTGGCATTTAATTCATATTAACGATCGGCAGAAAATGAAAGTATTATAGGACAATTTTAATTAGAGTATTGTTATAAATATGGTATTGGAATCGAAAATAATGAAAGGGAATCAGCTATTTGGTATAAACGCGCGGCCAATAACGGAAATACAACAGCAAAATTTTATCTCGCTGAATGTTATCGATTAGGGAAAGGAATCAAAAAGAATGAAATTAAAGCATTTGAATTTTATAAAATGTTGAGCGAAAGTGAAATTTCTGATGCACAATTTCAACTTGGAAATTGTTTTTTTTTATGAGGTTGGAACTAAAATAGATAAAGAGAAAGCATTTTATTATTATACGAAAGCAATGATTAATGGTAACGTATTTCACCATATGTTCTTAAAATTTTCTATAACAAAAATTAACAAGAGACATTAATAATGCTGTTAAATTTAAAGAATTAAATCAGTTTAGATTAAACTTCCTTGGCAAATTATTAATGAAAACAAGTTATGAAAAGGCATTTTATTATTTTCAAAAAGCAGCAGAAAATGGATATAAAGTTGCGCAATTTAATTTAGGAAATTGCTATAAATTAGGAAAAATAAAAGAAAAGCTTTTGAATTATTTAATAAATCTGCTTTGCAAGGATATATAGACGGGAAATTTCAACTTGATTATTGTTATAGTAAAGGAATTGGTATTGAGATGAATAAGGCAAAAGTATTTGAATTATATAAAATTGCTGCCAACGAAGGAAATCGTAAAGCACAAAATAGTCTTGGAGTATTATATGAGAATGGAATGAAATCAAAGCATTCAAGTTATATCAAAAATCAGCAAAGAAGGAATATAGTTATGCTCAATATAACCTTGGTTATTTATACGAAATTGGTGAAGGGATAGAAAAGGATTTGAAAAAGGCTATCTACTGGTACAATAAAGCAGCGGAAAATGGGAACAAAATTGGGCGTTATAATTTAGGAAATTGTTATCAGTTCGGAAAAGGTGTTGATAAAAATGAAACCAAAGCATTTAAAATATATGAAAAATTAGCCGAAAAGGGATATAGTAAAGCACAAAATAGTCTTGGAATATTATATGAAAATGGTAAAGGTATTAAAATTGATTTAGAAAAAGCAGTTTACTGGTATAATAGAGCAGCTGAAAATGGAGATGAAGTTGCACAATACAATCTTGTCAGTGTTATCAATATGGAAAAGGTATTAAGAAGGATGTAAATGAAGCGTTTAAGTTATACAAAATATTGGCCGAAAAGGGATATAGTGAAGAAAATAGTCTTGGAATATTATATGAAAATGGTGAAGCTATTAAAATTGATTTAGAAAAGCTATTTACTGGTAACAAAGCAGCTGAAGGCGGGGATGAAATTGCACAACATAATTTGGGGAATTGTTATAAATTTGGAAAAGGTATTAAAAAGGATGAAACCAAAGCATTTGAATTATATAAAAATCAGCAAAAAGGAATATAATTATGCTCAATGTAAACTTGGATTATTATATAACCATGGAGAAGGCAACAGAAAAGGATTTGGATAAAGGCAAAAAATGGAAATGCAATTGCGCAGTACAATTTGGAGAATTGTTATAAATTAAAAGTTGTTAATAAAGATTGATGTAACCAAAAAAGTTTTGTAGAAATCAGCCGATAAAACATATTTGTGCGGTGCGGCTTTATTTAAATATATATATTATTTTTCATTTGTTTCATTGGATAAACGTTTTGCTTCATTGATGAAAAAATGAATAAAACTGTTAAATTTCTTAGCTAGACTTATGCTCTCACAAAATTTCCTTAAAAATAAAATTATTTTATATACAAAGTATGTTTAGGTATAACGTGTGTAACTTCTTCAATAAAAAAAAAATACAATATCATATACATAGATACGTGTAATGATAAGTGAAATTAATGAATAATATTAAAAATAGCGGTCAATAAGTAAATTTTTACAAAAAATTAAAAGTTTAATAACATTAATAATAAAATACTCTGTTGAATTACATAAGATAGAAAGTAAGAAATGACGCTCAAAAGTCATATATGCACATTATATTTAAAAAAAAAAATAACATATAGCGTCTGTATATTAATGAAATCTATTTTTTACTACCCTTTATTCTCAGAAAGTATTTAATAAATATCCTGTAAATAATATATCAAAAAAATATCATCGGGATTTATTTTCCCCAGAATTGCGATATTAAGAAAAAATACAACTGGCCTAATAATGATGTTTCATATTTTCAATTATTTCATAATCAATATAAAATAAACAGAATGGATATTTTAATTGTCAAACAATTTGATTGCAAGTATGAGCTGAAACATCCAAATAAAGGATTTCAATTATTTCGAATATTCGAATCTCGAACGATTATACAGTGTATGTAATTTTTTTTTTTTAGGAACCATTTGTAGATTAATTCTTCAAAGTTTTTCTTTCATCAATGATTTTTCCTTTTTTGGATATTAGAATTAATTTTAGTTTTATTTTTTATTCTTAAGTCGTGTGGAATTTTTTTCGATATTTAAATTCACTTTCGATATTCGAAATTAAAATTTACTTATTTGTCAAATGATCCTTTTTCCAAACGGAATCCCTACCCTTTATTTATTTAAGCAAGAAGCAAATAAAAAATGCAGTTCCTCCAATTAGTCAGAATTGTTTGATTTCCAATTAGCTTTATCAACCCAATGAACTTGAAACTAGTCAACCTAATTTCTTCTGAATTTTCTAACCTATATATATTTGCTGTGATCCTTACTTTTGGTCTTCCAAAATTCATTATTCGAAAAGGATTCCTTCGTTTTAAATTCATATAGTAAGATTTCTTAAAGTGCAATTTAACATCTTAAACGTGAGATTTTTTCCATTTTATGTATATAATTGACTCTTTCTAATAAAATAATAAAATATATCTTTATTTACCGTAAACCATAACACAATCCAATTAAATTATAAAATATGGAGAAAACATTAAATAAATTAGACAAATCTCCTCTTGTGAAATGTAACCTAAAATAAGATAATAAATAAACAAAACGATCGTCATTTCCCTCGTGTTATAAATTTTTTTTCATAGAATGAAAAATATAAAAAAGACAATTAACATGCCTTTTAATTTAAGTGAACATTCCGAAAAAAAGAAAACTAGTTTATTGCAATTTCTTTGTATATTCTGAAATGAATAGGTATAATAAAGTATTCTTGAGATAAGCTCCTTTTTTAATCAAAATCTAAATTGTAATTTCCAATTTCTCTCAAAAAAAATTTTTTTTTTTTAATTAATTATAGAAGAACCCGAACCATTACTTGATTTGAATCTGGGATTATTAAAAAGGAAATTCTTTAATTAGTACCACTTCTTTTTTCCATTTTGTTTATTTATTATCATGTTATCATTATTATTTTATATGCGCGATGACTGATACAAATATCTTAACTTTTGATTGGGCAAATGTCTAAATGTAACCCTGTTTCGGTCTATATATAAATTGCGCCAATTTTTGTAATTTGTATAAATTTTAAATTTCTTTCTTTTTTGATTTCTTATTCAAAAAAAAAAAAAACTTTCTTTTAACGATCATAATAATGGTTTATTTATTCGATGTCCCAGCATTTTTTATAATATTTCGGGAAACGTTAGAATGTACGTTAATTCTTTCAGTATTATTGGGTTATATTGATAGAATAATTCCAATGGAAAATCATGAATTAAAGATATCGCTCAGGAAGCAAATATGGATTGGAATTTGTATAGGAATAGTAATATCGATTGTGATTGGCACGATATTTATTGGTGTATTTTATTCAATCTCTCGAAATTTATGGTCACAAACTGAAAAAATTTGGGGTATATGTGTATATATTTATTTATATTTATTTATTATTTTAGTAACTTTAGCCCTTTAAAAAATTTAATTAACATATGTTGAATTATAACGACAGGAGCGATATTTTCCTTATTGGCATCAATTCTAATTACGATAATGTCGTGGACTATGATAAAAATAAATCGTTGGAAAGATAAAATGGAAAAAAGATTTAGATATGCTGCAAGAATTTATTTTGAAAGGCATAATAGGGAAAATTATTTGGGTTTATCATTATTAGCATTTACCGTTGTCAGTCGGGAAGCTTTAGAAGCTTTCATATTTGTTGCGGGGGTAAATATTCAAATCCTTCAAGAAATTTAAAAATTAATGATTCATTTAATCTTTTTTTTCTTCTTCTTAGATCGGATTTCATGATCCACCTTCGGGACTTCCAATACCAGCGGTACTTGGATTAACTTTGGGTATATTATCAGGTTATTTAATTTATAAAGGATCGAATAATATATCATTAAAATTATTTTTCATGATAGCTTGCACGTTATTATTTTTTATTGGTGCCGGATTTTTTTCGAATTCTATATATCAATTTCAAACTTCTTTAAATTCTAGAGAGGTCATTTTATGGAAATTAAATTGTTGTGATCCAAAAAATAATGTTGGTTGGGACATCGCTAAATCTTTATTTGGTTGGCAAAATAAAGCTACTTTAGGTGCCGTTGTTAGTTATATTATATACTGGTTTATCGTAATAGCTGGTATACTTATAATTAACCATTATTATAATGGCAAAGAAAATGAAAATGAAAGCTTTCAAGAACCAAACGAAAGTAATCAAGGACAAGAACTTCATAATCATCATCATGTAGAGGTTACTCAAATCTAAAATATATTTGTATTACTATTATATTTTAATGAGAACATTACAATATAGATTCTAGTACAACATTATATCAATTGTAATTAGCGTATTCATTCATATATTAAATCAATTTTGAAAAAATCACTAACATCTAAAAAGTTTTTCAAATTTCCTAATGCATCAACGAAATCTTTTTAATATGTTATTACAAAACTAGATAGATGTGTAAAGAAAATGTTTAATAGAGAAGAAATCATTATATTGAAACCGGGATCAATTTTTTGTTATAATCATAGTCTTTTCCGTCATCTAAAGTCCCAATCACTGCATCTCAGTTTGAATCATTTGTCAATTGACTAAAAGCTTATTAATAATCATCTGATCCTTTTAAATCTGAAACAGTAGCATTATATATAATCTTTTCTTGGAGAATTAAAGCTATATATTTTTTAGGGTCCGGAATTTAAAAAAAAATAAATAAACTGAGAGATATTCGCGTCTTCAAGATTAAATCATAAACTATTCCAATGCAAAATACGTAGTAATATCAAAATACCACTAGAAATGGAAAAAATGACGATTTAATAAATGAATAATTTCTCACGGATTTGAAGACAACCGAAAAGCTTTAAAAAATTAATTTATTTACTTTTCAAAATATGTCATTAATATTTGGAAAGTCGTAATCAAGTCATAGTAAATCATATGATCCGGCAACGTTTTTTTTTTTTTTTTTTTTTTACGCGCCCATTTGTCAATAACAGCTAAAATGTTAGAATTTACATAATATCAGAACGATTCAATCTGTTTTCAAAATTGTTTTATTTGATTCATACTAGTAAAGTTCATTATACGCGAAAAAAATCACAAATTCAGTATTGATCAAAGAGATTATTTTTATGTGGAGAATCACCATCAAAAAATGTCACGTCGGCCCGCATTAAGACTTTTGCAGGCCCGTATGCATGATCATGCATGTTGCCGATCCTTAATGTCGGCCATTTCGTGACATTTTTTTTGATGGGTAGTCACTTTCACAACAACTGCGCCAAATCACGTGAAAAGATAGAAGCCAAAAAGCAGATTTTATTAAAAAAAATTAATAGAGAATATATCCCATTTTTTCTCAATTACAAGCTTATATATCTCTCCTTAATCGACCTGACTAAACTTTAATAATGTCCTGAGAAATTTTTGACTATTCTTTCTTCATAAAACTCTCTAAATCCCAATATTTTGTGGCTACACATTCCTCTTAATAGTTGCCCTTAAATTTTCTATAGGATTCAAGTTAAATTGTTGAAGGGTCAATCCAGACGGTTTGGACTTTCTGTAGCTAGAATTTCATAACTAAACAGCTTGTATGTTTAGGATTATTATCCTATTAAAGCTGCCAATCCTGCCAATCATCTCTTGATCTCAGAAAGATGTTTTTTTATGATTTCAACATAGAATTCCTATCTCAGAAGTAGTAAAGACTGGTTTTGCCTAATTAGGTTAGCAAAAGTCCTAATTGTTCCTAAGTGATCCTAATTAATTTTAAAAAAAATATTAGTTTTAAAAACTAAATTTTTTTAATATCATCATTATAATTAATTTTTTAATTAAACTTATTAAAATAAGATTAAATTTTTTTTTAAATTTAAAATATCTTTAAATTTTTAGATTTAGAATCTAGGTCCTAGAATCAGGTCCTAAGTTAAGTATATTTCTAATTTTTAAAAATTTTTTATTTTAAATTAATAAAATAATTTATGTATTAAAAAGATAAATTTATATTAAAAATTTAATTAATAGAATATAATTAAAATTATCTATAATTTTTTAAAATAAATTAGGACTTATTAGAATTTTTACTAACCTTAAATTCAATCACAAAATCCATCTATATATTGATTCTTATTTGGTTCTTTGAACTATCTGTTGACCCTTATTCCTTAGATTATAGGGCAAATTTGCCTGCTTATTTACTATAAATTCTCTTCTGATTTACTTTTATGAATAATTAATATTTTTAAAATTTTT